TCTTTGTGCAATGATGGTCTCATTTAACATTTTTAGTTGATTCGAGGCCATACTTGCCAACGACTGTTGTCATTACACAGCGTAGGCTGTCTATCAAATAGTATTTGGCTTATTCATTTATTCGCTATGGTCAATCTAAGTGCCAAGCACTATCTTCAGAACTATATATATACGACAAATTGTGTTCCATCACTGATCTTTTTGCCTCCAAATTTTCCTCTGCCTTCCTTGTCGTCCTTTTTACATTTTCTTTATACTTTCCCAGACAGTGAAAAAACTTCGCATGAATGATTGACAGCCGTATAACTCTTGTAACTGCATGTTGTGCAGTGAGCGTTTATTCTGTAAACATTGCACAAGATGAAATTAGCAAATTCACAGCTTCTTACTAAAATCATAGCTGGAGGTTTTGATTGAATAATTCACCTCAGGGTCTATAGCCAGCAACTTACAGCCATTATGCAAACACAACATAATTTCTGCGTGGTAAAAGTTTTACGACACTAAGGACCTTGAAATCACATTTCGTAGTTATTAGTAATGTGTTTTTCAAATCAGAAGGGGTGGGCACTTCGACAACGGAACATGCTGTCCGGCCATATCAGACACGATCGCATCTGTAAACAAGACATATGTATGCATTAAATCTGTGTGGAAGAAATTATTAGTAATACCCTTTCAAGTCTACCTCAGGTGGAACTCATAAAAAACGGATTTACTTTATTTGTTGAGGGAGGCGTGCCTGAAGCCCACTGGGTCTTATGCTAAAAACTTGGAGAGGGAAAATCTCCGATGCCATCTAAAGTTTGTTGACGAAAAGAAATCATAAAGTTCAGCAAAGAGTCCTTTTTCGGCAAATTCATTCACTTAGCTGTGCAATCGCCATTGTCTACAATTATTTTTGTATGGCTGTTTACATCAGCTTTATCAGACAAGAATAAAAATTAGTTAGGGCTGTTGTTCACTCCACTAAAATATTTCAAAAAGTGTGATGAATGATCAAGTTTTAACATGGAGGTGAAGATTTGTATGATGTTTGTGTGCCTGCTTCTCTTCTGGTCCAGATGTATTATGAATCACACAGCATACTTTCTATAACACCTAATATTACTAGCAATAGCGCCACTGGTCTGCTCCACTTCGGGTCTCCTCGGCCTTCTCTTCGAAATTAACTGATAATATCACCTGCTTTCAGTCTGTAGGCAGCTTATATCTGCTTCACGATTTCCCAGGCGGTTTGTGATAGAACACACATCTTCGACGCCTTGTTTGAGAACCACTATTTTGATACCACTGGGTCTTTGAGACTTTCATAGACGAAGCATTGTCATCTGTAAACCTAATTTTGATGGTATATCAAACTTACTTCTTTGGATTCCAATTTATTGTTTCCGAGAACATTTCATCGTCCTGAAATATCTTTCATTCACACGTTAATGTGGCATTCACCTGAATATCAGTTAGTTGTCGGCTGATTGAGATCACCTGCAGAAGACAAATTAAAGGCTAGTTTCCCCGCTCAACGTTCCCATTAAGATTCCGCATTCATGAGGCCGTGCTCTGATAGATTTTGTCACAAATTAACTGTCTAAACCATCAATATAATACTAATTTGCCAAATCTTTACTATTTGAAATTATATCATATATGATGGTGTCTGTGGAATTGCCACGTCCTTCATGCAAATTCATCCGTTCACATGAAAATACATACTACTGTTAATGAGTAAATGTTTCCCTATCCCCTTTGACTATAATAATGCAGCGGCTATTTTAAGAAAGTATCTATGTAGTCTGACCGCTTCCTTGAAAGTTCCTGTGGCCCTTTTATTCAGCAAGTTTTGTTTCAAATGGTTGGCGTTATCATGAGGGCAGATTTTTCGATTACCTTCTTGTTAGCCCCACCAACCATCCTCTTCTACCGTTTGCGTTTTGTAGTCAAGGTGCAGACTCCAAGACTTCTCCCATTAGCTCAACTTCGGATTAATCATAACAGGTTTCAGTAGGAGAGTTAAATATGGTCAACTTTTCTTGGATAGTAAGTCAGACAGTACAACAGCGCGGTCACTGCTGCTCATCCATGGCTGCCAACGTATGTTTGAATGTAGTCTGGTAGTAGTAGTAGTCCTTTGCCCCAAATTGCGTTATTCGTGATGGATTCATACAGTTCAGTATGCTGAAGACTGCTGTTTAAGTGTAACTGTCGGCGACGATGAATGATAGTGTGATGAGATCACCAGCAATAGTGAAGTGGCCACAGTCCATGGTGAAAATCACACGGGTTACTTCGGTGATTTATTGTCCGTGTTCCAAATAGCATGTTGGCGATCAGTAAACACCTTCAGTAGCGAACGTTGTGCTCTTTAAGGCTGTGCAACATTAGAGAAACTCAGGAAGGCAAGTCAGCATTGCAGGTTTGGCTATGCTTGCCTGAAGCTTGTCGCTCATCAAAACTGCATTTACGCCTCCATCGGTTCTTTTTCTGTCGTCTAGGTACACACGCTCTGACGCCGTGTGGTAGCCATGTCTCTATGAGAACTACTGCTGATGGTGGAGCGTAAAAGCACACTGTCTTGAGTTCGCTGGCTTACTGCTGAGTGTCAGCCTTGCCAAACGCTGGGGTGACGTCCAGTGACCTATCCTTCATGAACTGGTTACAGTTTTCCTGGCTAGCGGAAGTTTAAAGAAATGAGACCAGAAGTATTGGTGTGTACTATATTGACTATCCGTCGGCTATTTTGCAGTGCATCTAAATCAACCAACTGTGAACTCAACGATCAGACCTCTGTGTAATTTTATTCCTTATAGTAGTTAGTTTTTGGTTGAGCGACAAATCTTCAGCGCTCAAGTTTGACCTTTACTATCGGTCTAACTGTAGTTCAGTTGTTTCGGCAGAAGCATAACGAGTGTTCTCAGTTCTGAATAGTTATCTTTTGACAGCAGCGAAAATTCTTGGTTGGATTTTCACGGTTTCTGATCCACCCAGTTAACTGTTTCTGGTCTGGGTATTAAACAATGGGGCCTTTTACTTTTCTATGAAAACACTTGATGCTTTTCTTCTTCATGTGGTTCTTTCATCGGTCATAGTAGGTGGTATATTTTCTGGCCTAATGTGGCACCTAACAGGTTAGACTATTTTCGCTTTTTGGGGCACTTCGTTGTCATTTGAACCAGTTTTCTGTCGCTCTGCAACCTAATAGAATGTAGGTTGTGATCCCGTGTTTTTCCCCACTGGTGCCATATAGCTCTAAACTAACCCTCTCAACACTTTGTGCTACTGTTTATGTTGCTTTTAGCTGTGTACTACGCCGGTAGAATTTCACAGAGGGCTACCAAACTGTAAGGTCATAAGTCATGGTCTATCAAATGTGGAAAGTACTCGTGAGGGAAGGAGTCAAGAGACGATGGCTACCACGACAGCAGTAAGCTCCATTTGTGCAGATAACCAATAAAAACGTTCACGCCAAGCAGGAGCTATCATGAAATATCGCGGACAGCATTTTCTGAGATGTCACGTATTGACAAAGTTGCTGGTTTTACCTCGTCTTGTGCGACCTACGTAGTTTAGCATGTATATTACCTAATCCAGGTCCGAAGCGAAAAATTCCTACTGATATTGGTCACTCAGACAGCTATTAGCCAGCAAGTCATTATTACAGGCGGAAACACTGCACAAGGACACAGGTCTTATTCGCATGCACCCCTTATCCCCTTAAGTGTCGAAGAGGTTTACCGCTGGATAAAAAGGGGTTGTTTTAGCGCCCCAACTAACAGTTCGGAGGTGTTTGCTAGAGGTTTGCCGGTGTGGAAATTAACCCAAGGGACGGTGAATGCTGTTGTAACTTTTGACTGGGCCATATTTTCACGAGTGTTTGTGGGTATGATTTCTCTCAGTTAGATAACGACTCTGAGATTGTTCTTAACCTCATTCAAGAGAATTTCGCTGTTGGAGATCTGCTAACTGGCTAAGCTTCCTTCCAGCATCACAGGCTAGTACGATGGGGTCTATCCGGCATGCTAGACGAGGGCATTAGAACCATTCATTACACAAAGTTTCGATAGTCACGTTGCTGCAGTAATGTGCTCATTTCTTACAAAAATCTCAGTGAAGGGTTGCTTCATTTTTGGAGACTACAAATTCACCGGTTTTGCACTTATCCCCAAGCAAGGTTTCCACCTTTTTTTCTTTCTCTGTTTAATCCGCCTCGTTATTTGCTCTATGGCTTTACATGTGATATGATCACTGGGTTCGAGTGGGGTGGGGGGAGAGAACTGAATTTCTCCCTCTGCGATATTTCTGGAAGGGAGATGTGGTATAGTGGTGAGGACAGGTAAATTTTTGAAGATGGCATTTTGGATATCGCTGATCTTTGAAATTATCTAAATAATAGTTCTCAATGATTTTCGTGGTTGCCATATTCTCCGTAGCGAAAATTTGGATGTGTTTAGAATAAGGCGTTATCTGGCACTCATTCTCAATAATTATATCCGGGATGAAGTATTTTATATCCGAGAAGGATAGTTAAAAGTATAAATTAAGTATGAAGTTTACATGAAAGTTTTTGGACTTTGCCTTTTATTGTCTGGTTGTGAGTCATTGTAAAACTTTAGTGAAAGACCCATAAGTCCTGGTGACATTTTAGTTTTCCGGAAGTAATGCACATCATATAGCGGTGGGAACTACAACACTATGCAGGCGTAGGTAAATCCATGCTATTAATGTCGAGACTGAGTAATGTGCTTCTGTTTGCAGGAATTACGCTTGTTCCACTAGCTGTTATCTTAGAACATTTATCGAAGTGGGAGAGGGAGGTGAACTTACTCATCCGGTTTCAAAGGTCCATGAACCATATCTGAATTAAATAATTGACAAGGGAAAGGATTCATTGTACAGCATCATTACTTACTGCACTAGAAAAAACCAAACCAGAAGTTCACCATCCACTGAACTTTTAGAAACTATTACAAGAGAGTAGCTGCTCTTCTTCTACACGAATACATCAGATGATTAGAGTGAATTTTAGCACTGAGTTACGTAAACTAACAGTAAACCAATATAACGGTGTCCACCATAAAGATGTGGTTTGTTGGACATTGAATTTTTTATTTGCAACTAATTAATTGTGCTTTGACTTTCATTTTTGTGGCAACTTTCTGAAATCTTCAGGTTCTTTTCGTATGGCCATGCTTTTTCAATACACAGCACTTACAGAGTGCATATTTGGTTTCTAAAGAGTAGAACATTTTAATTGCCAATGGAATGTGAACAAGTTGCTCCTCTTCGTCAGGTTAGTTATTATGACAATCATGAATATTTCATTCTTTGCTCGCAGAGTCAAGAGAGATTCAGAAGTCCGGATATATCTCGTAGAACTTTGGGTGAAGAAGCTGTGGCAGCACACACAGTCAAGAAATCGCGTCGAGCTAAATCAACTGTACGTATACTACCATTATTTTATAGTTTTAGGAACCAACTGCTTTAGATCCGGATGACCCTTTTGTTAAATACACAAATAAGGTTTTTCTTTTTTGCCTCAATAATATTTGTTATTAGGTGGATGGGTTTAATGAAACTCCTCAGGAGGAAACTGTTGATAAAAGATGGTCGTTAATCGCCAAAAACTACGAAAATGTAATTATAATTATTTTAGCGTGTGTAATTCTTATAGATGTCTAAACAAGAGTTGTTAAGTAACTACCGGCTACTAATGAATGAGAAGCTTCGGTTGGAAAGGTTTTTATCGATAATGACAAAGAATAATGAGATGGTGAGTTTGATTCTGTCAAATATGTTTTGTAGTTTTTTGGTTATCCTAAACATCTTTGGACACTGTTTGCTTTTGTGAAATGCTGATGATGATGCAGAAACATATTAATTGATATTTTTTACAAGTAGCATATATTGCAGGTCATTTCTACATACCTTTCATTTTATTTCTACTTATCCTTTTATTTCTCTAGTTAGCTGGTTATGCTATTTTTCAAGGGGTTGTGGGTTTTTTTTAATTACAAGCTGGATTATACATTCTGTTTTTTATCCATCTTGAATGATCTAACTGACAAGAAAGCTCACTTAAATCGAGCTTGAACTGGCAGTTCACGTTACTCATGGTAAAACTGATGTCTTGTATCCTAAGTGGGATATTATTTATTAACACTGACTCATACTTATGATATGTTATTAACATACACGCACATACCATATATCTGCTATATTCTCTGAATATTGTATGGTAGCTTTTGAAAAGAGTCCACAAGTCAAATCTTCAGCTGTGGATACTGTTACTAGCATTTGATAGTTAACATGTTTCTTAACCTAATAAGAGCATTAGTCTTGGTTGGTCTAGAGGTAATGTGGCTACTCCTAGCAATAACATGAGTGCCCAGAAGTAATCTAACCAAAACATTCCAATTTTGTTAATGTGTTTCTTCATTCAAATACTTTTTCCGGATGGAGCAACATGATAGGCATTGTTAAGACTAGACTACAGGCGATGAAAGCTAGACCGAGTTCTTGAAATGCTAAGAACAAATGATTTCGGATCCCTATTGAAATAGCTCAAAATTATTTTCAGAAGAGTAGATGTGCTTACTCTTTGCTACAGAAATTATATATCTTATTATGCACTGTCTAATAAATTATTCTTCGTTTTGTACATGTTTTCCCTGTGTGATATCACTAATTTTATGTTGCGTCCTTTTATATATGATTCGCAGAGTGAAAGCATGTTAGAAATTCAACTCCGATAGCCAGTATTCATAGTGAAATTTAGTATCCGAAAGAGGTCATTCATTTGTGTTACCATTTTTGACTCGCAATCTTAAGTGTAACTTAAAGTAGCTACTACAGAGGCTTGTGATGATAATGTCTTCACACAGATTACAATTTGAACTTTTTGGATTTATGTGATAAATTAACTGTGATATGTTCAGAAAACTGTGTGCTTTGTGCATTTTAATTCTATATTTTCAAGTAACTTCCGTATTTATGCGCTCCCAATAAGCTCTATTTGGTTCCAAACTTTTATGTATTAATGTAAAGCAATAAAACTCGAACAGACACCGACGTTTCTCAATGATAAAGAAGGCCTTCACTAAAGTTCTTTCAGCCTACGAGTTAAAGCCCAGTCTTTTACATTTAGTTACATATGAACGTATCCAGTGGTTCACTTTCATTTCCCATATGGGCAGAAACTTTGATTTCCGTGTGACCCATGAGAGGATAAATGGTGTTTCACTTGTCAGAAATAATAGGTGGTCTGTAGGGTGAACGGTTTCTGAACTTTCAACTCATTTTGAAGCTTTTTGCTATTGAACAACATTTGTCTTTTCATCTGAATTCCCTATCTAAAAATATCTGAAATCGCTAAGCGACATAACCTTTACAATAATAAGTATGACTATTATTCAGATATTACCAGACGCCAGAAATATATCTTGTTAGTGAAATCCACTGTCTAGCTAGAACTCATTCATGTTTTTCCAGGGATTTCTTATGGAAAGTTTTTAGTTAAACAGGTAGGAAAACTAATGTTGAACCTCACACAGAAATACATTATTCCAGATAACCATGCCGCGTAGAAACAAATTTATGCCCTTATTTGTTTTAGAAGAACCATTTGGTTGCACACTTTCACAATTGTGCTGCATTTAACCAACGACTCACCTCAGCTTTCGTCCTAACCTGTCGCTCTCTCGTTTTCATCACTGCTTCCTACTTAGTTTTAAAGAAAATTTTTCACTGTAAACAGGTGGTAATGAGTCTAGTAATTAACTTACCCCGTATTAGTGACCATTTACGAGAACATTAGCGGGCTTTAGTTTTCACAGAGAAGTTCTTTTTGAAAGAAATTTGTAATTATCCCCTGAGCCCTTTGTTTGTCTCCAGCATTTACTCCTATAAATTTTACTGTCTTGGATTACATTATTTTGTTGCTTCTAGATTTTCACAAGACTTCAGTAATCTTATTTGAACAGTATAATTTTTTCAAACAGAATGTATGTTACTTCTCTTAAGATTTTCGTCTCAGATAATGCAGATTAACTCTGCTAATTAAAGTCCATACAACTGTATATCATCTAAACTATGAGAATTGATTTATTTTCATAATAACGGCATTTTAAGAAATTGTCTAATAGTGCTATCAAAAGTTTTCTACCATCTCGAGTTTATTCGATTTTAGAGTATAGAATATGGGCATACGCATTTAGTTTACGCTTCTTATCTTAGAAAAATCCAATATAAGCATCACTATTCATTTTGTATGATTTGTCTTATAACTCTTATTGTCAAAAATTTCGATTCTCTATATTTCATTTACTTTCTGTCTTACTGACTGGGTTTCCAAAGCAAAACTGTGCACAGAAGTGCAGCAGTTTAAGTTTCCACATTTCACAAAGCACACAACGGTTGAGAAACTGTATATATATATATATATATATATATATATATATATATATATATATATATATATACAAGAACTAGTAATACGCGACAATGTAAGCTGAGACGGAAGAATAATTAAATGGCAAGAAAAAATTCTAAGAGAGTGAATTCAACTCCACCACTGAGTACGGTTATGAACCACGTCACTAACAGTCTCTGTAAAACCCGAGGATTATAGCCAGGCACTTCACACCTCCCCGTGTGGTTCAGACCAGCAGTCAGTTAACTCATGAATTGCTGCCATGTTTCTATTTGGATACCTCTTATTAAATCTTTTCCTACTAAATCCTATATTAGTTAATATTGCTTGTCTGGAAAGGCGATGGCTTGGTATGAGTAATACGCATATTAGCCATCTGAATCTACCGATTGTTGACTTTCTGTGCTTACCTAATGTCCGGTCTCAGTATTATTCACCTTATTACACCATCTAACACAACTAGCCTCTCCAGGTTTTCCACTTTCTATGGTCATTTCTCATGTTCATAAGAGGGACAGAGTGAACTGGCGCGCATTACATGCGTCCTTTTATAAATAGCCTGATGTCGCACGTACTCCAGAAGTGACGTAAGTTGGCAAATGCGTACCGAGACTTCGTCAACGACCATTCTTTTAGGGCTGATGCAACTTCAATACTTGGAGATCACTTATTATCAAATTGAACAAAAATTGGGACAGTAGGCATCTACAGCAGACACCAGTGGTTGTCGTGGCTTCAAGTGGCAATTCTTTGTAAGCTCTAACTCGGTTGCGTCTGTTCAACTAGAGCGCCTTGATCTACTGGCATTTACTAACATTTGGTTTCAGGTTATTTTTGTTGTTTCTGCAGCTGACTGAATATTGTGTCAGGCTTCCTTAGGAAGACTCTTCCAGTAGATCTCAGATAGACATTTAATTATTTATTCTCCCAAACAGAGGGTTTGTGTTCCCATCAAGTCGGAGGCTTTTCAGCTTCATAGCCGCTTGTTTTTATGTCCATTTGACACTGAGTGTAAATTTGCACGGACTAGTGCGCGAAAAAAGTGCTCCATAAGGAGCGGAAGTCTTCCACCAACCCTCTGCATCCACAGCTAATCGCTATGTGATTTATTAGGGTTCACTGTTGATTCAGTGATGGAGGCCACCAAGCTAATCAGTGTCTTTCCCTATATTTGTATCATGAAATACAACAGTACAAGGTAAACATATTAATGGAAATATGGTCCATTATTTATAATGCATTTTCCTAACTTTGAAGTTTAGTAAAACTTACCGGTTGTTAACAACATCACTCATTTGAATGCCTGCATAAAACGAAGAATCTAATTGAAATTTATACGACAGATGCTGTAAACTAATGGTTATACCATTTTTAGCTATCTTCTAAATTGAAAATACTCGAAATGTCCAAATAATAAGGATTATGTTTGTTCACCTCATTATCGAGCGTACATTGTGTTATCATCTTCCTGTATACCATCCATTCCAATGTTAAATTTTAATTATTCTGACGTACTTTTTCTCAATACCTATTAGAACCAATACCTAATCTAGTACCATATTCCATCTTTAAACAGCCAAATTATTCCGCAAAAGACAGTCTTCTGTGCAAATTTATCCGAACTAGTCAGTTATTGTTAGAAGATTACACAGTGGGATCGCATTTAGTTAATTTCATTTCTGAGGATGCAGAAAAGTTAACTCCACTTATAATAGGTACATTTTTATAAAGTTTTATTATTCTCATGGTTTCTGTGAGCGTAGCTTACTTCATACTTCTTATTTTCCCAAGAAACAATTTACTTTTTGAAGCAATATGGAATATTTATGATTCAGCCTGTTGATGTTGAAGCTTAAATGTTCTCCGGTTTGGTGTTATTTGAAGTAGCGCTTCTAGTAATATTCTAATTATCATTAATTAGAAGGATGCTTCTACTTAATTTCCTAACCTTAGTCCATTTTGGATAAGCCTGCTTGATGTGATGTTTATCGATATCTGCTGGGAAATATATCCTTCATAATAATTTGAAGGCATTCACATAACTTCCCAACATGTTTTACATACTTTTACTTCCTTTCTTATCTGTAGAAAATGTTGTTATTTTGAATTTCTCACTTATTGATTATTCCTAACCGAAATGTTCCGTCTCTATTGATATTTCCTACTGAGAACACCCCTTACTGGGCTACAGATACTTCCTGCTGACAAGCGCCTAATAGAGCAGAAGGCGCATTATGAATTCTAATTCTAGCCAACATCAACTGCTTACCTTTGATACAATTTTGCATGATTTATCATAGTGCTACAATTGTTTCTTATCTTGCTGTCTGGTTATAGTTATGCTTTCTATCAGGTGTTTGCGTGTAGTTACTTTCCAGCGGAAACCACAATAACTCTTAAATTAAAATGTATTAACATTTTCTTAAAAGTTCCCTGAAGCTGTTATTTGTTTTATTATGATAACAAGTAGTTTATGAATTCTTTAATACTATGGGTTATGCACTTGCTTAATTATATCCTGTAGGAATTCTATGAAGTGTTAAAATCACTCTTGAGTAGTAGTATTACAGAAGTATTATACAAGTGCTTAGTGAAGCTTTTTCTCATTTCCTTATTCATTCTCCTACTGTTACTTTTACTTCTTTACTCTTTAATACTCAGCTAGGTTTTACAACTTTCTCAAATTAGGTGGATAGTTTGTAAGAGATTATTCCAATTGAAAAATCACTTATCTCTCTTATGTATGTAATGTTTCTGATTTCCATTGATATCAACATGTCCTCAACTTTGCTTATTTATTTAATCCTTCATTTATTTTTTTGATTTTCAGGCTCGTAATCGTCTTGAATCCGACCTGTTAGACGCTATGATGTGCATAGAGGATTTAAAACAGGCTCTTGAAATTCGTATGGCACGAGTAAGTTGAACTCCTTTTAAAATTTTCTAAGCATTTGTGTAACTTCAATAAATATACTTATTGTCTTTTAGATACTTCACTGAATGTCATTTATAGCGTGTAGCATGAACCTCTTTCTATCATTCATCAGGGAAAAATTAATAGAATAGCCTAAACCAAAATTGACATATAAGTGTCCAGTAAACTTTATGATACAATTCACAATTTGAAGCATTTTTGTTTTAGAAATATTAAAGAATATATATATATATATTAAATAATGTTGTTGGGCGACAAAGGAGACATTTTGACAATTAGAAAAGCAATAGATAGATACTAATGATAAGGCCTTATTATATATTGAGATTTAACTCAGTTTCATTGCTTCTTCTTCGTGACTTTTACTGAATTCAATATATTTTAAAATGAGCTTAATATTTCTGAAGAATAATAAAAACAAGTGCTCTAACTACACCTAATTTCCAAATCAGTAAACTGTGAACTGTACTAAGTTCTCAACGTAGAAGTTTGCGCAGAAATGCACTATACTTCTAGTTGCTACACTCCATACAGCTCACAAAAGTAGAGATAAAATGTGAAGACACTATAGTAAATTAGAATGCATGATAGAGAGAATAACTACATGGGGACTAGGTAGAGTCTAATCAATTTGGGAGATCAAATGAAGTGAGTGAAACTATGCCACTGAGTACGATTGTGAACTATTTTATCAACGGTCTTCAGCCATTCTTTCTTATCCTCTAGAGGACCTCAGTCAGGCAGTCTGTACCTCCCTACGTAGCTGAAACCAACAGTCAAGTACTTCGTAAAATTACCTCCGAAAGTGTTTTCCAATCTAATCCTATGTCGGTATGAGTGACATTTATTGTAGCCATCTAAATCAATATAGCTTCACAACCTCATCGATTAACCTTGTCTCCCTGTCTAATACTCCACACCTGACCTCAATACTACTCACCATATCATACTATCCAACAACAGAGATAAATCACAAACACGTATGGTTAAAAACTGCTAGTCACGTCATACCTTCTACTTTAAGCAGATATGTCTCAGCTCTGTAAAGCAGGACCGCTGCACTATACTTACGTCTAAATAATAGTCGTATATCACGTCCACAACTAATATGCACTAAATTATTATCTGAATCACTTCGGATAAGCAGCTAGATTAGTTGTAAATTTATCAAACATTAGTTCACTAAATGTTTTAGTTGAATAAAGTGTATAACTCACTAACAACTAGAAGCTTTTATTTATTAACAAATTAAAATAAAACAGTGAGGTCGGCAATATTTTAATAAATTGTAATAAAAACATACATTCAGAAAAGAAGGTCAATGTCAAAAATGACAATGTGTATTATATTGTGTCTGAAACAAGTATCTTGCTCTAAACGTGTATGGGTATCACCGTACTCTTGAGGTAATCATGTAGCAAGAGATAATTTATTCCAACTATAAATAGTTTATTCAAAAATGACTTAAACGGATTATTGGTAATCTGTATGTGAAGATAACTATCACACTTTTTATAGAAATGGACAGTCATGACATACACCTAGAAGTTATTACCTCTAGGTTTCTTCGAAATCAGTCAACGAAGTATAAAAATCTACTTTCAGCCTTTAATGAGGTAATTTATAATGGTTATTCTAAGAATTTAACCTAAGCACCTGGAAATAGATGCACAGTATGAACATCTAAAAAATAATCCAATATTCAGCAAGTATTAAAGTTTATCTGTATACAAACAGAGTAGTGGGAAGAAGATATGTGATTAGTACGTTCCAGTCTTATGAAAATTCTTTCGTGCTTATTATGTACATATGTTCAATATGGATAGACCAGTTAGCTGTCAATTAGTAACGAATAGGATCAGTGGGAGATTTTTATTTCTTCTAGAACACTTATGTTATCTTCAAACACACATTGGCTCATCCACGTGTATACATGTAACTGAAAGGAATATAGAAAACGAGGAGCATAAATGCCCTTAAATGTCCAGTTTTTTTACTGAAAACATAAGTTCTGTATTAACACTCAACACTTGTCCGAGTATAGAAGAAACTAGAAGGAACCGGGTTGATTTCATGCCTAGACGAGCATGCATTGATAATATCCTCACGTTTTAACGGGTTATAGAATACAGACATTCTAAACAACTTCCAACGTTTACCTTGAATCTTCACCTAAGTTGACTCCATCGATCGAAAGGTGGTAATATCTAACTGCACATTCATTTATGAGAAATAATATTATCCTATTAAAGGCCCTCTTTCGGAATTCATGCATCCGTGAAATAGTTTATAGACAGTTTAATTCTAAAGTAACAACAACCAGTGATCTTCTTCGAGGATTTTCACTGTCACCATTCTTGGTTTCAGCATAGATGCACTGATAAGTACAACTCTGGTCTTACCATATGTCTACATTTTCAACTTGCTGCCACGAAAGATTCTCGTTCGATTTGAGTACGCAGATAATATACCTGTTCATGCTAAACATGCTGATAAAATGCACAGTCTCCTGAATACACTGAGTAAAACTCTGGGTGTATTTTTAGCATCCATTTGGGTCTTGTTGAATCAGAGATGACGCCACAGGACTGGCCTGAATCACCTCTTAGTTAATAAATATGCAGTGGGCTGGATGAGTCTCTTGGTATCATACTATAATGGACAGATTGCTGAGTAAAGTTCAAAACAAATATTAAAGAATACCAAGATATAGTACACTAGGCTATTCAGCTGTGATTGCCACCTGTTGTACACCAGGTGTCGACTGTTATTGATTGAAAATTGTAAATTGTCCGTTGTTTGCTTTTACCAGAACTCAGTTATTGGTTTCTACTGGCTTTATGGGTTCAAACAATAGACACTTACTCAATGTCTTAGACATGAATTCTATACTACCTCACAGGCTTAATAAATAATTATTAATAACCCTTGTAGGAGAAATGAATATCGTAGCTCACTAACTTAGTGAATAACATTTTGACTTCTGACACAGTGGATACTGAGCCGGATTCTATGTGAAATGTATTTCCATCCTGTTGATGAGTCCTAGACTAGATGAAATGGAAGTCTTGGATTCTAGCCTAACCGTCTAACTATCAGGCAACATTACATTCACATTAAAGGTATCAGCTTAGGTTCCTTTTTAAAGCTCATTTACCAACGCAGACAGACTACTACTGCTACTACATTTAAATTCACGGAAGGAAGTTAGTTTATTGAATTAATAATAAAGGTTTTATAAATAGAGAAATTATTATTTATTCCTGGTAGCATTTATTCAATAGATTAGGTAATTTCAGTAACCTTTCAAAACAGAATGTTTTTTTATTTGGCAATAATCAATCTGAACTTTGTTCTTTTCTGTACTTCTATTAAAATTAATTACTTCACGCAAAATTTCGTAAACATTAGTTATAATTTTGAAACTGTGTAAACTAAAGTATATTACCAGTCTTCGTTGTTGTTTTCTCGTTCAGCATACATATCATAAACCATAAATCTGTGCTTTTTCTCACTTTTTTCTCTCTCACTCTAAACGCTATTAATCATAATCAGGATAAGCGTATTCCATGGAAAAAACACAACTTTAACCTTCTATTATGATTATAATATATAGATTTTAGAATGAAGGGATCATAGATGACATTATATTTGAAGACATACCGTTTTTGTTGTATAACAACATTAGATTATGATAAATCAAAAGGTGAAAACAGCGTTGGTCGTTCAGTGGTAGGATATTCACCAATCACACACGTGTCCCAGGGTTCGATTCCCTGCCGACGAACTCCTAAACCTCATATTTCCCGTAGCAAGCTGGGAAAAAAAAGGAAGGTTGGCCGCGAGGTTGGCAAGCCTACCCCGTAGTGAAACAAAAGCCAAGGCTTTAAGCTTTAAGCCTCACGCTCGAGTCGAGACGTAAACGAAATATGAAGAAAGGTGAAATCAGACACTTTATGTGTTCTACCCTGTTTAACTATATTTTACACTGTTGAATAAAATACTGTTATTCATTACAGACTTTGATGTTCAATTAATTTCCTTGCAGTTCTGATTAATTTTCTTTTTATATGTTTCTTTTGTTTCAAATTTAGCGACGTAAAATTGTAAGTTCAAATAAAATATTACCTTATTCAAATCACACATGTTCAATATTTTTGTTTTATATATTATGACGTTGAAATAATAATAATAATAACAAGTGATTGTTGTACAGGATTTTAAAATTTGGCTTTCAGCTAAGAAATTATATAATAATTCATTTGACCATAATTTTTTAAAATTTCCTTTGCATTCCGGGTGGAACATAAGGCTTCAAACTTGAGCTTTTAAGTTTCAGTAGCGTTGGTTCTGTTTTTACGAGGTTAAGTTGTTAGCCTCACACTCAACCTCCCATCCTATCCAAACTTACTACTGGTTAGTAAACTTGGTGAGGTTTAGGAATGTGTTGGTCAGAAATCGAACCCTGAAGGCAGTGCATGGTTGACGAGAATTCTAACATAGAATCATAGGCGCTGATAACAGATAATTAGGAAAATACTAACTTTTCATTAAATGATTATAATCAATATAGTTCACTAAGAGGTTATTTCTCAGGTGAAATTTAAATGACCATTTAGCGGTTTTGCTTTTACTATGGTTAATCATTTCATTTCACTTTTTTTCACTCTTTTGATGGCTTTGACCTTATCAATAATTAATTCTTTTATATTTATCGGTGATGACTTGTTGGACAGGGTCATAATGGATGCTACATATTCATAGTTGCTCACTACTAACTGTCTGTTTGATGGGACGATAAAAACTCTCTTCCAATAACGAAGTCTTTCACTCCCTTTTCCGTGTTCGGATGGTTTTGTAGTTGGTGAGTGTGGTTATTGCTGGAAGTTAGGGAGAGTTGATTACTGAACATTATATAAGTCCACTTATATGTACTCTGCACCACATCTAACCCAGTTGTAGTAGTAATAGTCGAAATAAATGTTAACATATGTAAAAATTATATTAAGTCTATGATCACTAGACTAAGCAATACTGAGTTTCCGTACAGTGTAATGCAATTTCGTTTTGACTTGTTTGGTGTCAGTTGACAAGCATAATAATAAACCGAAATTACTGTGATCTGATGATAAGGATTATCTAGAGCAGCAAGAGAAGAGTCAGGCATACATCGTAAACTGTATTGTTTTATTTCAATGGGATTTGAGAACAAATATCCTCTTATTTCTATAGTTATTATAATACGCCAGAAATAAACGTGTATATTTAACTGTAACAATTCAGATTATTAATGGAAATGAGACTAAAAATAATGGCTATTCGTCAAGTTACACCTTTTATAGTATAGCCACACCCAATTGTTTTGGTGGGCAGAACAATGAATCGTTTTTTTTGTCTGTGTTTAGACTTATTGTAATCCTCAGTGTATATATTTGTCATTTTAAAGTGTACACAGAATTTATATCAAAAATGAATAAAATAGAAGTAGTGTTTATTTCAGGCATACTCATAAATGAAAAATACATCAAACGCCAATGAAATCAACATCATTGAAGTAAACTATGTAGACCATTTATTTTTACTTTATGATTTTATTGGAATGTCGATGGGTTTAAACCACAAGAGATATGATGTAATATTCTACTCAAAGATTTTCAAATATCTGTAAAATCAATATAGCTTTTCAGCATCCGTATTATTTGAATCCACAACGGAGAACTCATCGAGGCGTTTGGAGTAAACACAAGAGTCAGACAAGGGTGTTTATTATCACTAATGATATTCCTAATTGTGGTGAACTGGATTATGCATCAGACAGTGGGAAACAAGAAGACAGGTATATCCTGGACCGACGTGAAGAACCTAGAAGACCTGGATTTTGCGCGTGGATGATTTATGTTTGATGTCACACAAAATCGAAGACTTACAAGCGAAAACTGACAAACTGGTCGAAGAAGCAGCAAAGACAGGACTCCAGGTGAACATAGACAAAACGGAGGTTATCAAAATAACCAACCAACAACAACAGAAGCAACATCCAGCGCCAATCACCATCAACGGGATAGATTTGAAAGAGGAACTCCATTCACTTATCTAGGGAGCATTGTCTCAACTACAGGAGGAGCGGACGAGGATGTCAAATCGAGCGAGAATCGGGAAGGCGAGAAACACATTCATCAACCTGAAACCATTCTGGAAATCTTCGTCATTCAGCCAGCATCAACAACAAAATTCAGTCGGATTTTCAATACAAACGTCAAGTCAGTCAGTTCTTCTATATGGATCAGAAACTTGGCGAGCGGATCACACAGAATATTTCCAACAGCCTGTTGAGGACTAGACCTTTATCAACGGCTGTCTTCGCTTTTTACTGAAGATCAGATCAGATGGGCGGGCCAGAAAGAATCACCAACAAGAAACTATGGGAGTAAACAAAATAAGAACCAATCGCCCAACAAATATGCAGGAGAAAGTGGAGATGGATTGGATACTCGCTGAGGAAGCCGCTGGCTGACATCACGCGTCAGGCCATTGCTCGAGTGGAACCAAACCGAAAGGGAAGCGGCGAGTGGGACGTCGGTGCAAGGGTGACATGGAGGAGATCGTGTGAAGAGGAGTTGAAAGAGTACGGACTAACATGGATGCAGGTGAAAAGTACAGCAGAAGACAGAAGCAAGCGGAGACGTACAGTTGAAGCCCTATGTTCCACTAGGAACCCAAGGGAACAATAATAATAGTAGTTTAGTCCTATTTTATGAAATGTATTTACTAAACTCACAAACGCACTTTTTATCCCGAATTTCGATCACGGATTGATGTCAGTTAAGGACCCAAGTGGATGGGTGGTCAGCGAGTTTGGTTTCGTAATATAAAGGTTCTGATACCTATCCCCGATGTGGTGGTAGGTGTGTAATACTGAAGCGGCCCGAACGAAGGTGAAAAAGTTGTCCAGTACTCTCTGGTTCTCAACGGTTCTCTAACTGACATCAATCCATGACCAGAACTGGAAATCCCAACTGATTAACTCTTGAAAACACTGTTTATGGCTACATAAAATAAATTAAGTGTCAAAATTCTTGTGTGCACTTCACAAACATAAGAATATTAGAAGGAATGAGGTAAAATTCAATTAAATTTTCCCTCTGTTTCACTGAACAACAGTCATAACCATAGTAACAATAGAAAACGTTTCCTTATTTGTCTACAATGTCATTGTCTTCTTTTTATCCTCAAAGTAATTTCGTTTCCTCGTTCGCCTTCTATTTTGTCCGAGTAAAAAATAGAGAAATGAGAACAATCGAACACTGAAAGGGAAACAAAGAAGAAATTTGATTCTTTTTACACAAATTGTGTTTAAGAAAGAATTCATTTTAAAATAACCCCATTGTACATTTTAAGCAATTAAAAAGAAAAACTTGCCGAATAGATTTTTCAATGAAATTAAAACTCAATTTAATAGCTATCTATATCAACAATTCCTTGAAATTATCTTAGAGTTAATTGTAATTAGTCTGTTCAACTGTTATTCTCTTGTAGGAAACAAATTAAAACATGTTTTATGTTGAATTGTAGCGGTACATTGTTTCAGTTCATTTTAATGCAGAGTAGATTTACAATGAAGTTGGTACATTCCATCCTCATTGATAGTGAATTTCACTTTTTAAATTTTGCTATGCATCCCTGTAATATAATGGTCAGTTTCCAAAATGATATGATAAAAAAGATTCATCAAAGATTTAATGCTTATTGTCTAAGGTTGAAAAGAACAAGAAGTTCAGCAAAGATGGTGATCTTTTCGGCGATTTCATTCTCAAAAGCTGTACAATCGCATTTATATAGATTAGCTTACATGGACACAATTCTTATTTGTTTAATTCCACATAGTAACAAAGGTGATAATAATTTTCAACTTGATATGAAAGTTTGAAGGTATGAATATAGATTACAAGGGGCTTAGATACAAGATTGCATAGGATTAGAAAACAGTTACAACGTATGCAAAATTAATATTTGATAACTGGAGAAATAATTTTAAAGGCGAATAAAAGGTGATAATTGTTACCAACTTAATATGAATTGCAAGAGGTTTAGAGACGCAGGGATACAACGAATTACAGGTGTGAACAAAATGACCATGGAAACAAATTGAAATCAAAATTTGTCTAAGGATATAAGGAAGTTAAAGCTGCTTTAAGTATTTTATTCGTGCTTACAGGTTTGCTGAGGATGTACCTTCATGGACTATATTATCTCTTAGATGACGCTGACCTTTTTTTTTTACTCAATTTCGTTTCTGAACTGTCGTTTGAGCCTTTAGCTTTTATGGTCAGATTTATCAGACCTCTCGAGTTATTTAACATAATATCGCCCTAAAATACCCTGATGCTACTGGTTTCTTGGATAGGCACTGAGATCCAACAGATGAGATCATTCAAAACACCTCAGTAGTACCTAGTACCAACGTCTACAAGATGCTGCACATATTGGTGAAAAGGATTTCTAGGAATCTAGGCAGATCTACTGATATATTGTAGTAGATGATCAACTGATTGTTGCAATAACTGGGCTATGAAGGGACAATAACGTGAAAAAACGGATGAACAGTTTATTGTAGTAAGGACAAGGGAAATTTGTAAAACCGTGTTAGAGTTTCACTTTTATTTGTGCTATTTTGAGGACAACTCTTTTAGCCTGTATTCATTTCAGAAGGAGATGACTAACTTTAGTAGCTGCTGATGGCCCTTTGCATATTCGTACCCGCATCACCCGGTACTGCATTTAAAAATGTCATCACTGAGGTGTTGTGGTTCAGTGGCAGCACCAGTTTTTTTCAGGTTAGGAATATGCCCTGCTGGCGAATGCTAATGAACAAGAAACCTAGGTGCAAGGCATTTTTCAGATTTCCGATTGTACGTGAAGGATTATATAATTTATTTGCCTCGTGCACCTACACTGGTAGAAAATATGATTGATAACTTAAAGACTACCAACTTCGAAGATCAGCATTCACCTTATAGGCTTAAACAATTCTATTAAATAATTAAATCTTCTCTATGCCTCGTGTACATTTTTGTGCTTGTACACGGTGCCTTCAGTCATTTAGTGA